TTTAATTATAATGATACACCTTACAGAGATAAAGAATAACTGAATATATTTTATCTTTACTGCCAACTCGAAAAATTTTGTAAATATAAAAAGGTTATTTTTAGATAATGAATTCAATTAAAAACCCTCTTTACACATTATTATAGCACAATGAGCTTGCTGAGAATATCGAAACCTTTTAAATTATATTTAAAAAGATAACAGAACGTATTATTTGGAAAATAATATCTATGATTGTTTGCAATATGATTTGATCGATGGTCAGGAATATCATTGTATTTTATGTCTATAATGTAAGTATTAATTTTTACAGCAATATATTTGTCCTATTTCATCTAAAAAATAGGCAACCTCCCAAAAAATTTATCTACCCCCATTAAAAACAACTAACCCCCCCCCCCTCCCTCGAGAAAAATTGGATGCAAATTGTTACCCCCATCCCACTCCGCTATTTTAGACGCTGACCAAGCTTTTTACCTTTTAATAATAATATTATAGCTGACAAGTTGATAAAATGATAATTAATTATAAAAAGTTAATATTTTATTATCAGCTTCCGGGACTAAATATAAAACTATTTAGATTGAGGAAATTAATTATCAGGCTCCATACTGGGATATAGAATTTCAAATAGCTCTAAGAAATATCTAAATATTTACGAGTCCTAACATAATTATAGAGAGAAATAAAATTAAATGAGAGAATAAAAGGTGTTAAGTGACTGTAGATATTATAAATCATCAGTTATTATAATCCTCTAACAATTACGCTTTAACATAAAATATTTATATTTAAGGAAGAAGAGTAAAATAAGTTAAAATGCTTTGAAAAAAATTGAGAGATTTAATTTGGGTGGATATTAAAGGAAACCGAGATGGCAATCGAAACAAATGATTGAAGAAATAATAGATTGTTAATAACTTTTATGATAATACCGACCGGGATTAATATATGGTTCTCATCTGTTTTCGGAATTCACATTAGAAAAGCATAAAATTTGAAAAATATTTTGTTCTTATTCAATTTGAGCATCATAAAAAAAATTTAAAAAAATTTAAAAAAATGTTATTAATTATTTTTACAGTTCTCTAGAAAAAATTATAATATAAAACCAACATTATCATATTAAATAATTTTAAATTAAATATAAAATTACATTAAAAGTCAACGGAATATCTATAATATTACTAAAATTTTAAATAAATTTATTTGCATAAAATAATTTTGTGCATTTATTATATAGCATAAAAATATATTATTTAATATATAAAGAATATCTATAAACTATTTTTCAATAAAAAGAAAATATTAATCTTTTTATATAAAAGACTACTCAATTATTCTTGACGAGGATAATTTTGCCCTATATTGGAAAGTAATATGGAATCAAAAGTAATGAAATAGGTTATAAATAACTTTAACTAATTTTCTCTTCTAAAATGACCATCATTGTGTGATTTTGAAAAGACTAAAAATGTTCATGATATAAAAAAAATAATAATTAATGTAAATCGCATCTTTAAATTGTTGGAACGATGCCCATTTATTATTTTAAATATATTAAACATATATGGCTATAAATTAATTGTCTCAATAATTTGTAATTTTTTTTATATAATACCTATGGTGCACAAAATTATTAAGCAAATAAATCTATTCAGAATGTTTTAAAATAATTTTATAGATATACCTCTGTTTTTTATTATATATATTATAGGTTATGTGTAAAGAATTATATTTTTAATAAATGATCGCTTTAAATGAGAATGTGATGTAATGGAAAGAATTTTTTATTTTTTGATGATATTCGAATTGACTGGGAACAAAATATAAAATATGTTGTTGACGTATTTAGTGATCTCATATAGTGAGTAGTTGTTTGAAAACAACGGCAACCCCTGTAGCGATATAAAATTACTGAGCTTTTTAATAAATCAGTATTATATCTAGATGAATTACTAAACACAAAAAGTTGCTCAATAATAGCACAAATGTTTGGGCATCTATTCACTAAATCTCGAGGCTTGTGGATTATTTTTTTGGTTAAAAAAATTGCGATAACCAATTTTAAAATCGGCTAAAATGAAGATATTTGTATTATCACCATGTATTATAATAGTTTCTAAGTAGATAAAATGATAATTAATCATAAAGTAAAACATATATGAAATGAATGAAATAATTAAATGAATGAATAAAATAAAAAATAAAATAAATGAATAGAATGAATGAAAGAAATAAATGAATAAATAAAATTAATGAATGAAATGAATAAATAGAAATAAATAAATGAAATGAATGTGAAATGAATGAATGAAATGAACAAATAAAATAAATAAATGAAATGAACGAATGTTATAAATAAATTGAATGAATGAAAATGAATAAATGAAATGAATAAATGAAATGAATAAATGAAATGAATAAATGAAATGAATAAATGAAATGAATAAATGAAATGAAATGAAATGAATAAATGAAATGAAATGAATAAATGAAATGAAATGAATAAATGAAATGAAATGAATAAATGAAATGAATAAATGAAATGAATAAATGAAATGAATAAATGAAATGAATAAATGAAATGAAATGAATAAATGAAATGAATAAATGAAATGAAATGAAATGAAATGAATAAATGAAATGAAATGAATAAATGAAATGAATAAATGAAATGAATAAATGAAATGAATAAATGAAATGAATAAATGAAATGAAATGAATAAATGAAATGAAATGAATAAATGAAATGAAATGAATAAATGAAATGAAATGAAATGAAATGAATAAATGAAATGAAATGAATAAATGAAATGAAATGAATAAATGAAATGAATAAATGAAATGAAATGAAATTAATAAATGAAATGAATAAGTGAAATGAATAAATAAAATGAATAAATAAAATGAAATGAATAAATGAAATGAAATAAATAAATAAATGAAATGAATAAATGAAATGAATAAATGAAATGAATAAATGAAATGAATAAATGAAATGAATGAATTGAATTGTATAAATGAAATAAATAAATGAATGAAAGAATGAATGATGAATAAATAAAGGAAATAAATGAATGAAGTAAAAGACTAAAAAGAATGAATAAAATAAATGAATGATTATATGAAAGAATAAAAGAAAGAATAAATGAATGAATAAATGAAGGAAATAAATGAATGAAAGAAAAGACTAAAATAATGAATAAATGAAAATTAATAACGTTAAAAATTCCAAAAGGCCACTTCCAAACACGACGTTTTTTCAAAGCGATAAATAACAAATTAAGCCTAATAGATGTGTGCTTCCAAACCAAACGATTTTTTCATGCATACGATTTTGCGATTATTTTAATAACAAACTAGCTTGATTATTTTTAACGATTAAATGGCGTCTGATACAATTGAAATGAATAAGTAATTTTTTTTAACGTTAATATTCAATAAATGAAATGATTTTAGAGGAAATTTTGTATCTGAATTGATAAATTTTGTAGAAGATCATGTTATGGAACCAATCTAATGATAATTATTCTAATAGATTATTAGCAGATGAACTATGGACTTTATGTGCTAAAAAGTAGAACAAGACTTTATATTGAAAATATTGACTATTTTATAATAATAATTTTTAATTAACAGCTTTTTAATTAGATACTATTTATTAGTAAGCATGGAATATGAATTTTAATAATTTATATCTTTATTTAAATAAAATTATTTTTTATCCTTTATTATTTACCAGGCTTGATTCATCCCCAAATGTCTGTAAATTAAAATGGAAGAATTTGAGGGATTCTTATTTAAAGGAAAAGAGAAAGAGAGAAGAAGTGCATTCAGGGGATGCTGCAAAAGCTAGCACTCCATCGAAATGGTATGATTCACTATCATTTCTTACTACTTCCACCACACCAAGAAAGACACTAAATAATATCACAGATAATATAGAGAATGTAAGACTTGTAAAAAGGGCTAGAGTAACAAAAGACCCAATGGAAAGATATTTTGACAAAATGTTAGAAATTGATAATGACCCAGATAGATTATGGTGCCTGTCTTTGGTTGATAATGTAAAGAAGGTGCCAAATGAAGTTAAGGACGCCATGAAAATTAATGTGCAAACTCTTATTTATAATTATATAAATAATATTATAGTAGAAAATGTTGATGTTTAAATAGTTATGTATTATATAAACATACAAATTTAATTTATTAATTTATATACACATACAAAAGTAATTTATTTATTTAATATATAATGATAAAATGTTAAATTAAACATATATTTAAGAATTAAAATAGTCTTTAAATAATTCTCTAAATTCTCTTGAATTAGAACTTGAAGCATTTAAAGATCTACTGATCCCTAAATTTTCAGTAATAGGAAAAATATTAGGTGTATATTCTTTTTATCATAATCAATAATAATATTATGTAAAAGAGTAATTGTAGATATAATTTTATCAGCATTTTCAACTGAACACTCTATAGCTTTAGAAAGTAGTGCAAATTTTTGTTAAGTATATAATAGAAAACATTCCTAGATAATCCAAGATAGTGAAAGAATTGCGAATCATTTAAATTCTCATTTAAATTGATATAGATCATATACAGATCTCTTTCTTTATAAATTATACTTACTTTTCGTTTTTTTTTATAAAGTCTCATAATAAAATATTTAGTTATAAGATTCATTTTTAAAAAATCAGCTGTAAAATATAAATCGTTGCTGTTTGGAAGTAAAAAATATTGCGAAAAACGTGCCTCGGAAAAAGTTTTGAAAAAACGTCGTGTTTGGAAGTGGCCAAAGATTATATTATATATTTTATAATGAAATTTTATGCAAATCTGTTAAACATTCTTCGTTAATTTCAGCGCCTGATTCTGATGAATTAATAGTATATTATTTTAATAAAAAGTTTATACTATTAATTTATATATATTATAATTAGAGTTATATACCAATTTTTATATATTATAAATAGAGTTATATATTTTACTTTCATCAGTTTTGCTTGATTCAATGCCTCTTTTTTCTAATATAAGTAAATGGATTATTCATGAACATTACAAAAATATCTATCAGATTTATTATACTTGCTTAATTTAAAAAACTCTAGTAGTTAAAAATAAGGTTTAATTAATTTTTTCTCGAGAATACGCTTAACCTTAAATAAAGCAAAAAGAATTATTTAAAGATGCCACATATATTACTTCTATTTAATATATTTGTGTTGTCACGGGGAACCTTCCAAGACACCACTTCCTCTGGGTTTGATAAAGTGAATAACATTTTCCTTATTTGTCCTATATCAAATAAATATTTTTAAAAAAATAAAAATTATGTCCCAAATCATTATAATTGTATATATATAGTATAACTGTAATTATGAAATTAAAGAGCAGAGTTTTATCATAATTAACTAAAACAATTATTACCATAAGTCAATGGTTAGAATAAGAAATTATCTATTTATTAAAACTGTGGATATTTTAATGCATTATTTTATTTTTGATCAGTTGTATAATTTCATTCTCGATACATTTTTAATACATTTTATCTAAGAATTTTTATAATAATTCCTTTTTTCAATGGATATCACACCTTTTTATTTTCGGAGGATAAATTACATCTTTTTATCAACAACTTTGAGATTTTCAATGGAAATTCTAATTGTACATAATAAAGCTTTGTTTTCTAGAGTATCTTTTAAGGAACTAAATAGAAAGACATACTATTTATGTATATGAATCGAGATATAAATCATATAATAAATTTGGTTAAGGATAAAAAAGGAAAACCAGCTCGTATTAAGGACCAGAATTCTAAGAATATATAAAGGGGAAGAAAATTGTCAAAGAATGCAAAATTAAAATTAAGAAAACAAGCAAAACGATTTTCTTCTCTTAAGATTAAAATGATAAAACTTTCAGAATTTTATAATTATTTTTATATTTTCTAAATTAGTTAAGATTGAAACTAGCGATATTTATTTTAAAAGATATATGTTTAGAATAAAAATATTAAGAAGTATTTGATTTTCGGGTTTATGTAATTAATTTTTAAATAAAAATTTGTGTAAAATATAATTATGAGTAGACTTATTTATCAAGAACTAAAATTAAAATATTTTAATGATCGAGATCATTCATGGGCTAACACTTATTCCAATAAACATTTGCCTCCAGCATATCCAGGATACCCCGGGGAGACAAATTAGTAATACAATTCTTTTAAGTATATATCAATATTACAAGATTGCAATAATTTATTATTATGATAAAGGTTATTTCATTTTACTTTTCACATCCAGGTCCCAGAAGTCAAAGATAATATAATAAAATTTCTTAATAATAATTTTTAAAAAAATGATTTTATTAAAAAACAATTTTTAGACGAATCTTTGGACAAAACTATATCAAAAAATAATAATTTCAATAGTGAAGTACTTTAAGCAATTTTTTTAGCAATGATCAAATTTCTCCTGATACAAACCAAATTTTCAATGAACTGCTTCCCAAACATTAAGTTAATGTTAATAACAATCCTTTCTCGTTAACATTTTCCATCAAATTAATTCAGTGCCTGAAGCAATTATTACAGACTCCATAGGAGGATTGAATAGTATCAGGCCAGTCCATCTATAAGATCTGATAAATATAGACAATTATTAATCTCTGATTCTATTGCATGTATTTACATATCCTATAAACTAATAGAGGTCTGTCTCATCCATTATTTATAATATTCTTTTGGTATGAATGATTGCCTTACAAATGACAGATAAAGGCATCTGTCTTATAGATACAGGGGGAGTTATAAGAAAGATTGTCTCAAATATTTTATGCAAACATATTAAAACCTCCTATGAGAATTGTTTTCTCTAATTCAATTAGGGTTTGGCATTAATGGAGAGTGAAACAGTTAGCAGGGCAACAAGGATTATTCGCGAAATCCTTGCTTCAGAATATGCATTCCTCAAACTAATATAAAAATATCATTAATATTTCAAATTGTAATTTAATCTAGAGCTATTTAGATGTTTATCCTGATTATTTCAATTATATCTAGTAAAGTTACCATTACTATATAGCGAATATACAATTCTTTTAGCCAAGGAATACAGAAAGGGGAACCGCTCATTCCGCCTTTATTCTGCTTAGCCAAACAACATATTTAAAATTATAAAACCCAATTTACACCACAATATATGGTATTTGGATGATGGCTCATTAAAGTGTCCTATAAATAAAATAATTAGAGCTACAGATATCATTTAAAAACTTCAACATTAGTGAAATATATTCAACTACAAATGTCTTCCCTAATCTTTATTTTTGGGTTACCAATAGGAAAATCTACAGCTATACATATTTTAGAACACAGAAAATCCTTATTAAAAAGAAAACAATTTTAAAAATTTTGATATACCCAAATTACAATTCTTAGATCATCAGGCGTCTATTGATTTATATTTATATTACCATAATATGAATAAAAATTTTAATTTTTACTAGAACATAGACAACCTAAAATTCCCCCTCTTCCAACAAAATCTGGCAGAATTGGCTTACGATCACCATCACCCCTTGCAATAGTTTCTTTTATTTCATCCTTATTAAAAAACTAAAATCTCATTCTTAAATTTATTAAACCTATTGAAATCCATCTTAAACAAAATCTTGTTATGGTCTGTCAACACATCCTTGGGCATAATTTATCAATTCTCCAAATTATAAAATTGGGATGCTTCAATCATATTATGCTTTGTCATCTACTTTCGAGCAATAACACAGCAGTGCACTAACCTTCGTTCATAGGTAATGAATAAGTCACACCTATTATTGGAAGGTTATTATATAAGCATGTTAAAAAAAAATCTGTTGACAAGTAAGGAATTTAGATAAACCTTAACAACACACTAGTCTTATACATATCTCTATCTTGCAACTGTAAAAGATGCGGGGTAATGATTGATTCAGCTAATTCACTAGTAAGGCACGAAAGAATTAATAAATAATCCAAAATTTATTATTCAAAGCCGATGCTTTTTTATATTTCAAACCAAGAGACACTTACGATTTTATAACTAACTCGGCCTGATGGGCATACGTTAACCATATGGAATATGGGGAAACACATGTATTAGAACCAGGGTTGTGCATTTGACCGGTCAAATACGTTTAGTTAAATTGACCGATATTTGACCGGTCAAATATGGTCAAATACGGTCAAATGTGGTCAAATTCAAATATATGTTTTTTTAATTTAATATTAACTTTATTTTGAATATAATAGTAAAATGAATCTATAATATTAATTTTTTATTAAATTCATTGTCATTCAATAACTAACGTGTAGCTATCTGTAGCAGAGTTTTGTTCTGATTCATATTCAATATTATCATTTTCTTTAATATTTTTTAATCAATTTTTCTTATGTGTTATATCTTCAATCGATTTCTATTTTCATAAGAATATTAACCCAAATCGACCTATTTCTTTCTAAAGAAGAAGTAGAACTAGGAATTGTTAGTCTCTTGATGGGCAGGGTAGACAAAGTTTAGTCTATTAACTATAGGTCGGAATTTATTGTATCTGGAAATTACTAATTTCCACATAATTTGCTATATTAAACATGCTGTTTTTGCTTCTGAAATTAATTATATCACTTAAAATATTTTGGTCATCACTTCCTTGTAAAATAGCTAATTCTTGAATTATATCACATACTTCATTAATTTCACTACTAGTGAGTTCTCCTCTTGATATTGTAGACACAAAAAATAAGCAAACATTGTGATCACATGTATTTACATCGTTTTCCCCTTTTTTAAACATATTTTTAATTTATTTTTCCTTTAATTTTTTTAGAGTATTTGACAGTATTTGACCGGTCAAATACTCCTCCGGTCAATTGACCGGTCAATTGACTGAATTTGACTGGTCAATTGACCGACTTGCCAACCCTGATTAGAACTTTACATATAATGACATTTTCGCCCCTTTTAATAATAATTATGATCCCTTAGATATAGCGAAAAAAAGGAAATACCACAAATATTTATATCTAGCCCACAAATTGTGTTTTTTTAAAATCTTTTAAATATAATTTTAAATTTTATTTCTATATCAATTTAAATGTTATTTTTAATTAATATCGATTGCTAAATTAATAAAAACATATAAATAAACGAGAGCCTTTTCATTGCAGGTATATAAAACTTTGGTTAAGATTGTGATGCCCGAAATGATCTATTACAATAAAAATAGGATACATTTAAAGTAAAAGTTAGCTAAGCTAAATGAGAAATCAAATAATAACAGTTTTAATTAAGCTGAATATTAGAAATATGAGATTCAAATCAGAGATCACATGTGACACCATGTATATAAATATAATGTTTACAATTGTATAAAAATTATCTCAAAATGTTATGAAGATGTGGAATGGGTGATTGTTACAATGGATCATATTAAGAGCTAAACATCAATTCATATTTATAGAAGCAAATGAATGCGATATTATCATTAAGGATGTAAGTAAATTTTCAGAATAAATACTTCATTATATTAGGCTGGTAAAGAAAACGGGTGTTTAGGTGTTATGTAGTCAACGGCTTTTATTTAGAGAATTCATCAGATGTTTATCTTTATAGTGTTAAACTAAACTAGGTAGGCTATATTTTTTATCTGGCTTCCGAACACTAAGTTATAATGATATTGGGCAAAATAATTTAACAGATATATATCTATATAATTATACGATAATATTGTATCCCATATCAAATCAATTGAAGATATAACCTTAACTTCTTCCCTTTTTAAAAAATTTAATGGTGGTCTATATACTAACCTTTCTTATTCATACCCATCGCCTGCACCATTCTCACCACCTACGGTAGAAAGCCCAACATTTTTTGCAAACGGATCCGCGAAAAAACTGACCAAGGAATCCCTCTTCTTACGCCAAAGACTTGCTACCGCCATCATTTGTTCTAACTATCTAAGCTTCATCTCTTCCATTGAATAACCTTCCATTTTCCAAGCTTCCTTTTTTTTATCCCCTATCCTTTCCCGTAAATTCTATTTCTATAATTTTTCACCTTTATTTATTTTACCTTTTTAAAAAATTAATTATTTGCTAATACATTTTGACATCATATCATATCAGTAAATATTCAAATAAAGTAACCCATGACCGGAAAAAAAAAATATTTTTAAATAATTTTGACCGAGTCGACCTTAGATTTCGAAATGAAATAAATATATTATAAAATTTTTGCAAACGATTTTGTTCAATGTAA